GTTTCTTAAAGAGAAAAGAAGCTATACTTACCTCTTGGACACCGCATATACCTACGAAAGGATTCTCTGTGCCGTGTTGTCGTTATAGAGTAAATTAAGAAGGCTTTACTCTGTAACAATATAATTATTATAATAATTGTTAATAATTGTAACCTTCTTTTTATGACTATATAATTGTTTGTTTTTATTAGTAATTAATACTCTTTTATGTGAATTAATTTTTTTAAAAATTTCTTATGCTGTATAAAACTTTCTATAAAATTCAAATTCATTCTATAAATTTATTTTTATTAATTTAAATCAAAATTTAGCAATTTAATTAGTTTATAACCAAAATATTTATTATCTAGACTAAATTATTTAAATTAATATTACTTAAATTTTTTTTATCTTCAAATTAAACACTTGGTAAGCATTTATTATCATTATGTTTAGAATTAGTACCTTCAATTAAATCTTATACCATTTCATCAAATAGTGTAGCAAGAATTATTTTATTAAAAATATTAGCTAATGCTTCTCTTTTATATTCATTTATAAGTTTAGCATAAGCATAATATCTACTAGAAGATTTATACCTATTAATTGTATAACTAGTATTTTCAAGAACTCCAATATTAAATAATTCTATAATACTTGTTCTTCAACCAGAGTAATTACAAATATTTCTTGATTTGATATTAATTTCAGATTTAATATATATTGTTTTTAATATTGAATATATTGTATGATTTGCTAATGGTTTGTCTAAATACCATTTTCCTTTTACAATAGTTTAATAAAAATTGTTAATAAATATTATCATATATAGTAAAATAAATATTTAATATTACTTTTACTATCTGAACTATGACAAGTAGCAAGATAAAAGTTTAAGCATTTAAAATTTTTAGAGCAAAAAAATATATACTTTTTTATATCAAAATTCAGCTCTACACTATCTTCTAGATCAGATAAAAAAGATATAACTAAGTCAAACTGACTTTCTTTTATATCTCCTTGATCATTTTTTTTGTTGAGCTTTTTTTAATATAATACCATTAGGTATATCTACAATTTGTAATATATGCAAGTTAGCATGTTCACTGCTTTTTGTAGCACCTAATATAGAAATCCAGAAAAACTCCTATTTTAATAATTCTAAAGAAATATTCAGATTCAGAATTTTATGATTCAATATATATCAAATCTCTTTAGTAGTTAATTTATCTGTAGATTTAAATTCACCAAGTCCTTTTTTCTTTATATCTTTCAAAAAACTATTAAACTGCATATAAAGGTTAAAAAAATTATCTTTATCATATAAGCTATATTACCAACCAAATTTGATATTTTAAAGATACTAATTTATTGCTAATAAAGTATTCTTTAATGATGTTTGAGAATAAGATCCATCTTTTTTGATTGTTATACTATATAAGAATTGTAAAACTTGAAGTTCAATTATTTTTTTGTTATAACTTTCTAGTGGTTTATTATAATTTATATCAGACTGCCACTAGTTTATAATACTAATTCATCTATCTGTATTTTTAATAGTATTTATTGAAATATGCTCTTTAGTAAGTGCTACAAGTTGGTTATTAAAAAGTAAAAAATTAGAATGTTTATTCATATTCAAATGAGGCTATTTAGTAGCAAGGGGGGAGATCTCCTTTTTGACTAAAAATTTTTTATTAGCTTATTAAATAAAGTATAGTTAGCTATATAATTTTAATTAAAAATTAAATTATATTAGCTTAATAATTTTTTAAGTTTTATATAATTTTTACAATATATTATTGCATTAGTGCCAAGTGTGACATGACATTTTATATAGTGAAAATTTAGGAATCACGTACATTACACAATTGTTTATATTACATGGTATATATAAATAATATTTTAAAAAATTGATCTACTTTATTTGTCATTAGGTATTGTTATAATTTACAAAACCATGATTTTCTCAAAATTTTTGGTCAAATCTAAATGGAGATCTTTCTCCTTTCTACTGAATAGCCCCCAAATATTGATTTAAAAAAAAACATAAAACATAAAATAAAAAAAAAAGAAGTATAAGAAAAAAGAGAATATGAAAAAAAAAAATGCGAAAGAAAGCAAATTGAATTTTATTTATAGTTTTTATAGCTGATAATGATTTGATTTGTGATTTATTAAATTTTTAATAATAGAAATAAATTTTTAATATAAAATTCTAATAAATAAAGGGAATTGATATTTTCACTCCCTTTTTTGATAATGCCACACCCATAGATTATTTCAATTTTTTAAAAAATTTTTTTAACTTTGATCGAAGATATCTCGACACTTACCTGTCTAAATTTGATCAACTTTTTTCCTTTGAATTCTCAGCTTTCTACAATTAAAATAAAAAAAGATGATCGAATTTGGTCAGGTGGGTGTCGAGATATCTTTGACCAAAGTTTGTAAACAATGTTGCTGTAGCTTATATTTGGTAGACATTTTGATTTTTACAAATCTTTGATCGAAGATATCTCGGCACCCACCTGACCAAATTCGATCATCTATTTTTTCTTTGAATTCTACGGCTTTCTACAAGTAAAATAAAAAAAAGTTGATCGAATTTGGTCAGATGGGTGCCAGGATATCTTTGATCAAAGTTTGTAAACAATTTTGCCGCAGCTTATATTTGATAAATGTTTTGATTTTTACAAATTCTTTGATTGAAGATATATCTGCACCCATCTGACCAAATTCGATCAACTTTTTTTCTTTGAATTCTACAGCTTTCTACAATTAAAATAAAAAAAAGTTGATCGAATTTGGTCAGGTGGATGCTGAGATATCTTTAATCAAAGTTTATAAACAATTTTGCCGCAGCTTATATTTGATAGACGTTTTGAATTTTACAAATTCTTTGATCGAAAATATCTCAGCACATACCTAACTAAATTCGACCAAATTTTTTTTTCTTGAATTCTAAGGCTTTCTACAATTAAAATAAAAAAAAGTTGATCGAATTTGGTCAGGTGGATACCGAGATATCTTCGATCAAAGTTTGTAAACAATTTGCTGCAGCTTATATTTAATAAACATTTTGAATTTTATAAAATCTTTGATCGAAGTATCTCGGCACCCACCTAACCAAATTTGATAAACTTTTTTTTCTTTGAATTCTAAAGCTTTCTAAAATTAAAATAAAAAAATTTATTCGAATTTGGTCAGGTAAGTGCCGAGATATCTTTGATCAAAATTAAAATGATCTACAGGAGTGTAGCATTATCAAAAAAGGGTGTAGAAATATCAATTCTCTAAATAAATAATGCTACAGTACTTTCAAATAGGGATTAGATCTGTGAAAATTTATGCTGGTGATTAATCACATTGTCTAATTATAGATTACATGATTAATCACGATCAGTGATCATGTAATCATATAATTGCTTAACTATTTATTAATCATTTAATTATTTAACCATTTATTAATCGTTTAATTAGTTAGCCATTTATTAATCGCCATGATCATTTAACCACTTAGTCGTTTAACCTTTATTATTAACCGTATAATCATTTAATCATGTTCATATATTAATAATTATCAAGACACCAATATTAGCAATACCAAAAATTTGCGTTATATATGTTATTTACATTGCATTAGGGAATGTTATTGTTAAACAACTATTGATTAGCCAAATTTGCTATGTCAATTTATTCAATTTACTCCAGTTTCAACTTCATATCCAGAGTTATGCAGAAAAAAAAACTTGTAAAATCTTTTAATACTAATTATGAATCTCATGTTACTAAATAAATTCTCTATATTCATCCTTTTTAATCTCTTTTTGCAATATTATAACTGCAATAACCAACAGTTAATTGCGATTAGAATAGAAATTGAATAGTACTATCTTTTAATAAAAAATAAAGCTATTATTGTGAAAAATTCTTTCCAACTAGTTTATCCCATCTGACAAGTCAAATACCCTAATCTCCATAATAACTGTTTGCTTAAAGTAACTTCATAGTGCACTCTTTCAATTAATATAAGTGTTAGCACACTTTGATAATAATAAGTACTGTGGTGTTCTTGCATTCATTCTTTCAACCTAAATAATGCATAGCAAAAGTTATATGTGAAAAAAAAATTATATTTGTATACACAAATTTAAACATACTCAAGTATTTAGTATTATGTTTAGCAAAAAGAATTTTTCTGATAATTTTTGAGCCCAATCATGTACATTGGGAAGTAATCAAGTTTCCTGCATCTGAAAAAAGTCTTTTGCATAGGACAGACGTCACTGATATACACAAATATTTGTATACTAATAATAATAAAATTGGAAACTTGGTTTTATGTTCATTCTACTACTGCCAAGGATTGGCATTATAATTAATAGAGGTAATATTTAAATATTATTCCAATTCATCTAAAGTCGTATTCTCTTAATCTTGTACTCCGAAAATACTTTCAAAAAATGAATTTTGTGTTATTTCAGTAGTTATTAATGTTGATGTTTGTTGTAGTTGATCATCGCTAGTAATATTAAGATGCTATAAATTATCAAATTTATTTTTTTAATTTTGTTCTGGCCTTTTCTCATTCTCTATTCATAAACGCTGACATTTTTTTGGTTTTTGGGGTCTAAGAGGGTAGCCACTAATCCAACTTCACAAAAATCAAGCCAATATTTATTTAAAGAATCTGAAATAGCAATTTTAAATTCTTTTTCTAATTGATTAAGATTAGACGATGATGGAGCATGTGAATAAGTGTCATCTTCACTTTTAGAGTCTAATAACATGTTTAATTTTTTAGTTTTTATATTTAAAAAAAATTCTTAAAAAAAAAAAAGATTTTCATATTCGTAATATAAACTCAACAAAGCTTACTTACCATTATAATCGTTGCTATTTTCATTATTGTTATTCAATTCTAAACTATATTCTATAAATTGATTTTGTAGTTTACGAATAATAGAATACATTATTGAAAGAGTGAGATATTTTCTTCCCGAAAAGAACTTTGTTGCAAGTTCAAAAGGTTTTAATGCATTAATAATCCTTTCTAATAAATTCTATTTGTAGTCTTTTAGAAATAGCTGTGACAATTTTTGACTATCTTTTATATATTTTTTTTTTCCTTTCTTAATGGCATCACAGATGCTAACTATATTATTACGTCTTTTAATTGTAAAAGCCATGTCTATAAATAGTAGCTAGAGTTCTATCTAGTACAGATATCTGAAATATTACGCAAAATTTTTATAGCAGATTCATTGATTTCTTCACCATTTTCATCTTCTTCTCCTGACCCAATTTCTTTATCCATATCAAGAGTTGATAATTAACTAAACCAAATAATTTTAACATCATCTTCTTGAATGTGATTTTGTCATACAAGATTTATTTGTACTATATCAAGCTATTCAGATTGCTTAACAAATTTTGTAAAAAAGTTTACTAGTTTTTTGAATCTTTTTATATAAAAATTGATTTTTTTTAAACCTTTTACCACTGATAATTGAAGAGTATGGGCGGAACAGAGCAATCATTCAATATTTTTCCACATAGCAAAGGCTTTTTTTTTTATATTAGAGCCATTATCGGTAACTCCTATAAATAATTTTTTATCTAACCAAAATTCATTTATTTTATTATTAAGGTAATTATATATTTTATCTGCAGTGTGAGAATATCGCATATGTTCAATAGTAAAGAGCATATTTATAATTTCAAAATTAGGTATAAGCCAATGAATCGTGATACCAATATATCCAAATTTAGATCTTGCAGTCTAGAGGTCTGTAGTAATTGTAGCATATTCGTATGTTTCATTAATTTTCGTTTCAAGTTTAGTCATTCCATCTTTATAAGCTACTGTTATAAAATTTTTACACACTTTATTTGATGGTGGCTTAAATCATAGATCAATTTTTTTTATAAATCGCTAAAATCCTTTTTCATAAAGTGTATTAAAGGATAAAGAATTCAGAACAATCCATTCTGTGCATACTGCTTGTAGTTTATTTTGCTTATTTTGGCTATGCGTTTTTTATATTTTCTATAACCTGTTCAAGTGTAACTTGTTCTTTTTTTCTCGCCTATTATATATATTAATTTAGATAATATAAATTAGTTATTATTTAGAAATACTGAAAAATTAAATAATATCTTTTTAGCCAGACTTTCAAGAGCTATATCATGTTCTTGTGTTATATGATAGTTCATTAATGATATGAAATTTGAGTTAGTATGATTATATTTTTGGCCATATTTTTTTGCTACTTCTCCATCTTGAGTTATTTCAACTTGGCATACTGCAAAAAACCCTTCTATTTTAAAATAATCTCATGCTTCAGCTTTAAGTTTTCATTTTTTACCTTCGTACAAACAAAGCAACTAGAAGTTGTCAACCCCGCTGGTTCACACAACTTCTACAAAATATACAATCAAATTCTATTCAAACTACATGGCCCCATCTT